CGACGCTCGAGACGCTAGTGGACGCTGTCGCAAAGTGTGAACGCAGCCATCCCTATATGGGCACTGGCGTAGTTAAATGGTGCTCCTGAGCCACGTTTCTGTGTTCCTTCCCCAAGCCAAGGCTGAAAGACAAGCTATACACTCATCAGCTTGGATCCTGTTCCTTGCCCTATGTGGGGAGAATGGGTTCCACAGCTGCAATAGCGTGCCACCTCTCAAAAGTGCACGGAACGTGATGAAGGGTAGTTACTTGGGTGTCCGGCCGCGCGGCCAGCCACACGCCCAACCATAGCCGCGCGCTACTTACCTGCGCCCTCTGTCTTCCGGGAGTTCTCTACATCTCTAAGTGTGAGTTTCACTGTAAGACCATTGAATCGACGCAAGCGCTGAGCCTTAAAGGTGGCGCGTGTGGAATATTGAAGCGGCACTCGTTACCACTTCCCTACAGCCCGGTAGCTGGGCACTGCGGACAAGAGAACGTGGGCACACTGTTGCAGCTGGGGATCTATTCATCTTGCACGAGCAGCTTTAAGCATGGTTAAGACTGTGCCTTTTCTGCGAGACGTATTCGCTGTGACTCTGGTCGTCTGCTCTCGAAACATAGGCCTTAGTCAGGGGAAGGGACCCAGAGGCATAGTGGCACACCTCAACGATCTATGAGCAAACCGCCTTGCTAGTACTATGCTACCGACATGATGCAGAACTTCCAGCCTCTTCATGAAGTCGGTATCGATACGAAAAGCTTCGAAGAATTCAGCCAGCTTGAGAATGCAGTCACAAAATGCACGGAGTTGATGCTTTACGAGTGTAAGTGCTGGAAAATTTAGTTCTAACAGCGAGCTTTATTTTTTCAACACCAGTTTTTTTCAGTGAACTATGGTGAAGACGATTTATTGAACTGTTTAGTCTTTAGTAAACAGGTCAGTAATTTTTTGTTCCAGTCAGAGTCCTTCAGTGCATTTGATAGCCTTTTCCAGCCTGCGATGTGTCCTGTTTCCCCGGATCCGATTACTCGACGAGAGCGACAGATACAGACGTCACCACCGACAGTTGGAGCACGTCCACCGTCTCGTCCTGCTCGAACAGTGACTCCGGATGCCCAGGCTCTTCCTGGCCGCCCTGTGACTCCGTTAGCCCAGCCCTCAACTGCAAGCACTTCTCAGGATACATCTGAAGATATAGATGCAATCGATGGATATTCGCTTGTCTCAGATGATGAGCTTCAGGTAATGCATTCAAGTTATTGAATACGACAAGTCTTCAAGTAAATTTGTCCACCAGCTGATCCATAAATTTTCAAAACTTAGATATAACTTCAAAACTGTAATAGATCTGTAAGCATTGCCTTCAACAAGTCAACAATAGTTGAGAGCACATTCCGTGCTGGGAGTATGGGCGGAGAGATATCTCTCTATCACGCTCACCTTCTCGTCACCGTTCAAGAATGGAGGGGCGCAGCAGTGGAGACGGTATATCGCTCCTGTATTTCGGCCCATGCGGCTGTCGCGGAGCATGCCTTAAGTGATTTCGAAAAGTGTAGAAGCCGAGCTCAGTCACACATTGATGTTCTCAGTAAGTTGCGGCCTGCTCTCAAAAGATACCAGGAAAAGACCAGTTAGCAGACACTATTTTTTGTGAACTGAATAGCGGAGTTTTGCCATCAGTACCTACTCCTTCCCACTGCGCCTCACCCCCAAACGATAAATTTTCGCCACACGACACCTGGAGCAAATAACACTTGGTCGAGTGTCGACTAAATGTGAACGTTTGCAAGGCGAAACGGCGTTGCAATAGGAATTTGGGGTGATCGCTTCGAGCCTGATCGGTTTCGCAAGTAAAGGCTACTACTGCTTCATCGAGTCGACTATCTAAAAATACTATCTATCTTGTGCGGCATCACGTAACAGGATGCTTCAACCCACCCGGACAATTGCGCTAAGTGACTTGGGCCATATCGGGTCCGGCGCAAACAGAGGCAGTTGGCACGACAATTCTCTAAGACAAGTAAGGTTAGTACGCCTGGCAGGACTGAATTCCGCCAACGTCAACAGGCACTGCACAGCGCATTTTCCCAGTAAGGTGCCTTTACAAGGAGAACGAAGGCTTTTCTTCGCAGGTTTTTGACCGTTTCACTTTGTTCCCGCCCGTCCCCCCCCCCATTTTCCCGTTTTTTTTATAGCACCCTGCCAGCATTTTAGACCGTGTGCCAAATTTTCGTGCCATATGCCTTCGAAGTGCCGGCGAATTTTTCTAGAGTTAGGGTCGGACTGGAAGCAGAATGAGTGGCCTATTCTGAAGGAACTGATCATGTGGGCTGTTGTACCCAGATTGTTTTTTTCTTTTGCATACTTGCTGTAGGGCGGCCTATGCTTTTCGTGGTGCGGGACTCAGTTTATGCCTCCTGACACCGCGTCAACTTCCTTAAAACGGAAGCGAGTCCGCTTAAAGGCAGTTGGCACGATGGTTTCCTACTTAGCCTAAAATGCTAGTAGGGCGCTGTATAGTGGGGAAATGGCGAAAGAACGGAGTGAAACGGTCAAAATCCGCGAAGAAAAGCCTCCGTTCTCAGTGACTTGTAAATCGATTTCGGACGAGTTTCCCGTAGGCATCTTGCCAATCACCGCTACCGAAGATACGGCTGCATATGTGTACTCATATATCCATGCAGCATCACGGCGCTTCATACCAATCCCTTCGCTTCATAATTTGCTTAGCAAATGAATCGATTAGAGCGTCAGGAACGGTCGTCCATTTGTGGGCGGCGGGCTTTGGCGGCGTTCGGACGTAAAGTTTGGCTTGATAGGGCCCTTATAAGGGCACCTTTCTCGGGGAAACCGCTATGCAGCGCCTGCCCAGGGTCGCGGAATTCTATTCTGCTAGGAGTATTGATCCTAGTCATCTTGGGGGATTTGTCGTGCCAACTGCCTTTAATGTGATTAATGATATTTGAATTCATCACATTAAAGGGATCTGTCCACTTATATTTCCGCAGTATTACCGTAATTATGTCACCTATGGAAATATGGAAATTGGCAAATTTAGCATCTCGTGTATTTTAGCCATCCAAACTGCCACGTTCGCCGAACATTGACGCTGATGACGGTCTTTCGTTTATTAGTGAGATTTCCTCAACTACTGTCGAAGATGAAAGTCCTCGACAAAGCCCACTGAACTGCAGTTCCACACCGTCTATTCAACCATCTCACAGTCCGTCAAACGCCAGCTCTGTCCCATCTCTCATGAGTTTGAGATTAAATGAGTAAGTTTTTTCTTTGCTATAACTCTAATAGTTTCTCAGATCCGACGATAGTCGCTCACCCCGTTGCAAGCACATTACACGCTGATCGTATGGGGCGGAGTCAGTCACAAGTGCGTTTGTGTGGCGCCGTCTTCTGGAGGCAAAGAACAGGAGCGCATCAATGCAAGAAGTTGAAGTAGCCGCGCCCAAACGATCAGCTCGGCATGTGCCTTTGAACGAACCAGAATCGGTTTTTCCCAACGAAAATGCTTCATTTTCAGGATATTCGATAGGACCCTCTCGCGAAACCGACAGGCGCCAACAGGTGATAATGCCAGAGAGGGCGTACGTCCCACCTTCAGCCGCCTATGTCGAGGCGGATTCATCGTCCCCCTCAGCAACTGGTCCACCGCGGGTTCCATTCTTCTTTCAAGCGACGCCTGCGAGTACGAGCAGATCAGCCCCGAATATGGTCCCACCGTCTTATGAACCGGTTTATCCAGCGGCTCCAGTTTACTCTGCTGATATGAGAATGAACATGACCGTCCAGCAAGCAGCTGTTTTCTTATCGCCTCCAGACAAAAGCTTGTCCTCTAAGCGCAGAAGCTCAGCCCATGTCTCACCCACGGGATTCACTTCCTTTCTGTGGACCGTTCTGTCATACAAATGCGGAGGTTTCATCAACGACGATGCATGCTCCTCCTCAACATCAAGGGAGACAACCAAGCAGCATGTCTGTTTATCCCACCTACGAAGAACGACTTCGCACTTCTGAACAGGTGAGCGGTCTACAATATTCTTTCCGAAGGTTGATTGGCCGATTGCACCAAAATGAGTTCAACGAGATCCTTGTATCATGGGACGCAGGAGGGGGGGGGACTTCAAATGCACTCCTCGCGTTTGTTGATAGGCAGACGCTTTTTGGATAAGGTAGTCCTTGCCGCGCAAGCATGGGGATATATCTAGATAGTTTGCAGCTCGAAAGTGCATGAGGAAAGCGCGACCACACGCACGCCCACTGGCCACGGTAACGCCCAGCTATCACTTTCCAAGGTATTCTGGTGATGCGGTTTTCCACTGCTTGCTCCTCCCCTTTCGAATGGTGAGAGTTAGATGATCGGGGTCAGGTTCTATAGGGGGCATTTTCAGGCGGTTTTTTTCCAGTCTTTGCATTTTTGTTCAATTTTTCACAGGCTTTTTTATTGGATCGACAGCTCACCGCTTATGAACGCGGCGGTGCCTTTGATTTCAATACTAAACACACAATGAACGCCCGCCCACACATTCGCACCAAAATTCTTGTTTTCACTGGCTCAGGGCACTGTTAACGCTGCTGATGTAGGCGCAGACCGTTTTTTAGCCTACTCTTTGGCCTGCCTCAGTGTCTTATAACGAGGCAGACAGGGTATGCTTGACTCCTCCCATACCATCAACGTAGACTGTGCATTTGGAATAAACGAAGATGTAGAGGAGTGCGCCAAAGTCAGAACTATTGGACTCTAGGCTACTGTTGAATAAATTTCTTTTGAAAGACGCTGATTGATGCAGGAATTCACGTTATCTCTTTAGGGAGGGGAGGGGGTTGGATTTCCCATGTTCCTCCGAGAAGGTGATGTATTAAGGAGTAGAAGTAATCAACTATAGCTATCATTTATGCATTGGTTCTTCAGGTGTCCAAACACCACAGTCTTCCGGGTTTTACTGTTGGTGATGATCGCTGCAGTGGCCAAGGAGAATACCTGGTGCCAAGAGCGGTGAGGTTGGTTTATTGATTGTAATATCGTGAACACGAAGCAAAATTTTGTCGCCTCACATTATGGGCAATGCCATTTTTCGGCCTACCCTGAGAACGGGATGGTTTTGTTCCTTAACATTAACCTAGCCCGCTATGAACCCCATCGTGTAGAATGGGTGGAACTAGGATAGGGTTGGCGGACCTACTAAGATGGTATCCGGAGCCGAAGTTCCGAAACGGTTTGCAGTGTTGGCCGGCCACTGCCCTTCCTTCATGTTGTCCACCATCCACGCCCCTCCCCTCCCCTTATATTTCTATCCGTATAATATTAATTACCGCAAAACTTCGGCCTGTACAAGGTTACATAACCTCGTCATCCGGGCAGTTGATTAGGGCGGTCGTCAACGGGCCGCAGCGCGTGCCAGGAACTATTTGCTTTTTCCAGGCTAATTTAGTCATTTTTTCCAACTTTTCACTGTTTTGGCTACTTTTCCAAGATTAGCAGCTCCTTATCTTCACAAGGTGGAAAAATGACTAAATTAGCCTGGAAAAGCAAATAGTTCCTGGCACGC